AACTGTTATGTTCTACATTAATATATCATAAATTGCTCATGCAAAAAGGAATCTGTGCATTTGTGGATCAGGTGACAGATTAATATTAGATTAAATATTACAAGATCGGATCTTTGAATTTCGTTCAGTAAATTTAACCCTCTTAGCGCCAAAGTCACAAAATTGCGACAAGGCGTCATAATCAAATAGACTGTAGTTCCTAATATGGTGTAATATCTCATTTGTATTCCCTACCATTAGATGGCAGACATGTAGTACTTCGATTCTAGACCAAAATTATGTCACGTTCCTATTCAAAGTGTTTGAGGAAAGAGCAGAGCAAGTGAGCTATCATGTCATTGATGCAGAAGCAGTTCAGTTCATAGCATGCGGGTAAGCTCTGAGATTTGTGAGAGAAAATCACTAAATGGCTAATAAAAAGTTGTACCGTGAGGATGTGTTGCAAATGTTATTCGCCGATTCTGACTCTGAAGGGGAATATTTGCCTTTTGGAAATGACGATCGGTCGTCTAATAATCACGCTTCTCCCGGTACATCTTTTAATGCAATGGTGCCACCATGCAAGGCGAGAGTGTTCACGAAGCACAAACAAGTGATCATTTCGAACCTTTGCCCAACGGGGATGGGGGTGGCAGGGCAATATCTATTATTTCCTGAATATTACTGATGAACTGATCAAAAAGTAGGCTACTGTTCACATGCATTTTACTACTATATAGTATAGTAATATAGTAATAATTTAGTACTTTCTCCTGTTTTATTGTTGGTTTCCTATTTTCTGATCATTTTGAATGAGAATAAAAAGACAAAAAAAAAACATGCAAATAAGTTCAAACATCAATTCAATATCTATTATTTCCTGAATATTATGACATTCAAGAGGGCCGCCCCCTGATGACGTCATAATATGCAAATTAGATGAGTATATTTACACCCCACATAAACTTTTGGTCATGCCCAACATTCTTCTAGTTTACATTAGATCTCTATCTTTAAGCCCTTTCAAGCCACAAGCTTTTGAAATCTTGATGTCAAAATCCAGCATTTTTCCAAAAAAAACCTGGCGCCTAAAGGGTTAACTTTAAATCATTTAAATCATCATGTCATTTATTGACATCTTGTTCGAGTCAATCTTGTTCGGTTCATTTGGATTTTGTGACTTAGGGTTAGGGTTAGCAAGCAGTAACTGAACATCTCTCTCTTCAAATGCAAAAAGAAAATTAAAAACATTATTTCTAGAGGTGATATATTGAATATTACTGGTGGTTATAATATGGATTATATAGATTAAATATTACAAAATATTACAAGATCGGATCTTTGAATTTCGTTCAGTAAATTTAACTTTAAATCATTTAAATCATCATGTCATTTATTGATATATTGTTCGAGTCAATCTTGCTTGGTTCATTTGGATTTTGAGACAGTTTCGCAGTTTGCAGCATTTCACGACGCTTGATCCACAATGCACATTTTAATCGCTACATGCACAAAATATGATACTTTAATACAAACTATGACATTTGTATTCACATTTATGTCTCTATTTGAACAAAATGCTGCACATTAATGTAATTCTTAACTCTGCAGACACCGGTTGAAAAGCATTTGTTTCAGTGTAGGGATGCACATTTGCGAGTTTTTCAAATCGTGTACACTTTAATGAATTGCACTGGGCCTTGTTCATTGGTAGTTGTATGTGTGGGCGTTGTGAAATGCTGCAAACTGCGAAAATGAAGTCTCAAAATCCAAATGAACCGAACAAGATTGACTCGAACAAGATGTCCACAAATGCACGGATTCCTTTTTGCTTGAGCAATTTATGATATATCAATGCAGAACAGAACATTTTTATTCGCAAATAAGTCTGCATTTGTTCAAATCGCTGCACAATCATTTAATCCCGAATTCCACAGACTCAAATTGAAAGGCATTTGTTTGTGGTTAGTAAGATACATGCATAAAATGTATGCAGTACATGGATAATTGTGCGTGCATCGATTAATCATTTTGAGTCTAATATCATCCCATAGTAAAGAACCCTTGAGTGAAGTGTAGAAGATTTTTAAAGAAGGTCTAAAAAGCACAACAGCAGTTTAACTGTAGACCTAAATGTCTAAATAATTATTTATTATTTATTATATTATTAAGGTGGGAATGGTCATGAAAAAGTAAATAATGACAGTTTCTGGCATCAAAAAACATGACGAACATATCTTACTAAAGCGCTCAGTGACTATTGTAGGAACTTTTATCCTAAACTCTGTTTAGTTCAAACGTGTGGTTTATTTGCATCGTCTAATCTCCGTTACCCCAACGCCCATAATTTCTCAAAACTTACATCACTTTACTTCCTCTCTGCTTTCCTGTCATTTGTGTAGCAGTTTGCTAACTTTCTTCCAATTCTGAAGCAACTGTGTTATGCTTGAGGAAACCAAAAAACATCTCCATAGCCATTTATGACGGCTGTATCTCTAGGGCATTGCATTTCGACGACATTAAGTAAGGCCTGTTTAATACTTGATTTTGTGCATTACTGATTCTTTCTTGTTTGTTGTAGTTTTGATTACAGTAACTGTAGCTTTAGGAACAGTTTCATAGTTTCTATCTGCTTAACCGTTTGTTCACTAATCCACTCACACAAAGTATTATCAAGGATGAATCAAATATTAATATTGATTAACATTAATCAGTAAACTGGGATGACTTTACTATTTTTTTACTTCAAACAGTAAGACTAATTTTCTTATAAAGAGTTGTATAAATGGCAATATCAAATTAATTTACTAAATACATGAAGGACTCTGGTAGATGTTGAAGACAACAAATAAGTACATCATAACTAAAGGCAATATATTAAAGGAATACGTCAACATAATATATTTTTTTTAAACAAAAATAAAATGTTAACCAAAATGTCTGAGCTGCTTTTTATCATACAACAAAATGAATGGTGATTTATACAGTTACAAAAAGTATAATAAAAGTAGTCTATATCTGTACAGTACACATGATATGTTTTGAGCTTGACTGTATAAATAAACATCCAAACAAAGTCATAAAACCAGCATTTATGTTCCTGTAACCATTTGACATTGCGAAAAGTGGCGTACAGCACCTAGTCTACATCTCGCTGTAGAGCCGAAAATGTAAATATAGCTCTCTGTGTGGGAAACTAAGCCATGTTTCATAGGGCGAAATGGTAATACCATGATGAACCAATAAATGTCAAGCACATACTGTATGCCATTTGACAGTCTGTCACCCGCATCACACTTACTTCTGCTGAAAACATCATCTGCATTTTTCAAGTTCACACTTTTCTGCAAAACTGCACAGGTATACCTTTGTGAAAAAGAAAGTGCACTTAAGTATACTTTTATAAAGTGTACTTATTGCACAAATAATACACTTTAAAAGAACACATAAGTGCGAATTAAATGTAATGTTTTCACCGCTTAAGTGCATTTCATTTGTAATTAATTTCAAATGCATCACATTTTAAAGTTATATTAAATGCAATTAGTTGAACTTTTGAGTGATTTTTTAAACCACTTAAGTGGGACTTTAGTACCTCTTTATATGTACTTTCATAATTGCTTCTAGTGTCTTTAAAATATGGTTAAAGTGTACTGATCAATGTACTGACACGCAATTAATGTGAACTAAATTATACTTTAATGTCAGTTAACAATACACTTAAGTGTGAATTAAATGTAATGTTTTCGACCACCTAATGCATATTATTTGTAATTCATTTCAAATATATCAGTTTAAAATTACATTAAATGCAGTTAGTTGAACTTTTGAGTGATTTTTTTTAACCACTTAAAATGGGACTTTAGTATATTTTATATGTACTTTGAAATATGTTAAATGTGTACTTCTGAATGATAAGCAATTAATGTGAACTAAAATATACTTTAATGTCATGTACATGTACTGTTATATAATTAAATATATTTCTAGTTATATCTCTAGTCATGAAGTTGTAATTTAGTACATTTAGAATTTTATTTTAAAAATCTCTTAATTACCTAGTTACTTAATTATCTTAGTTACAATCAACACAAACACAAAATGGAAAACCCTCTACATTTATTGACAAAACAATCGCTAAAATAAATACACAAAAATCCTTATTGCTGATGCACAAGAAAAACCCAACACTATACACAAAGTTACACCACTTTAACTCACTTAGAAAGTCTGGAGAACAATGCAAAATCATTTTCTCCCTTACATACAAAACTTAAGTACCTAAACCTAAATCTCACCATCACAGAAAACATAATTTTGTATGATTTATAAGCCCGTTTCCTTATTGGGGACCTAAAATTCTCCACAAGGTCCAAATTTACCAGTATTACTTGTGGGGGTCATATGGTCCCCATAACGTATAGAATTACCAACACACACACACACACACACACACACAATTAATGCAAAAAAATTCAGGAAAAGTATAATTCAATGTACAATAAATGAGACCTTATTGTAAAACATTACCAAACTGTGTTACTTATACCCCCAGTTTCACAGACAAGGCTTAAGCCTATAGTCCCAGACCAAAATGTAATTCTGAGCCGTTTCAACTAAAAGAAACTTGGACTGACTGATCATAAAATATATCAGTTCCTTTGTTTTGTCTCAAGATGCACACCAGTGATATTTTTTCTAATGCATGTGTATAAAAATTACTACACTGTAAATTCCAATTAGTAAACCTTACTTAAAAAAAGCATGCAAACCGATTGCCTTGAAAAAACCAAGTAAAGTGAAATAAGAATAATAATTTGTAATAACAAAGGTTTATTTAGTGTTGTAAACTTACACGCAAGTTCTGGTAACTCAGAATCACTATTTTCAACAACTAAATATAATAAGTACAATATATTATGTGCGTATTTCAAACAACTCTTTTTGTTCAACTTACAATTTCTAAGTTGTATTTACTTAAACAATATTGAAAACATTTAAGGTAGCAACATACATTTTTAGGGGTTGTGGGGTGTGAAGTGTTTTCTTAGATCTCTGAAATAAATAAAAGAAATACAGTGGTTACATGTATACTTCATCCACAAGAAATTATTTGAAAAATAATTTAATACTGTAAATAAAGTGTAGCACATGATTGAGTCAAAAACTGCTCTACTGCTGTATAAGAGATTAAAAATGAAATACCTTACCTTCAGTGTACTGAGGCCGAAACAGTACGGTGTTCACGAGACTGCTGTTCAGAGAAGACAGCTGCCACAAGCAATTGTCCTAAATATGACAAATAATTATTCAGTTAAAGGCAAGTTCCACTATTGTTGTGAATTGTAGATTACAGACACATTCATTCCTTGATATTTGCATACTTTACAAGAAAGAAAGAAAACTTCTATACATATCTACTTGAGGCCTCAGTCATAAAA